TCCCATGTTGGTCTTCTGCCAAGGCAAGGAGGGAATGGAATGAGCACTGAGTGCCCCAGGACTAAAACTAATCCATGGCATCCCTCCCCTTCCTCCCGACGCCCAGTTCCAGCTTCCCAGTGATGCTGAGGCCCATGTGAATGGCTGCAAAGGGCCAGGCCAGCTGGGGCAGTCCCTTGCCAAGGACAGCTCGTGTGCCCTCACATCTCAAGAGCCGGCTGAAAGACACCAACCTGACTGGGATTCGGATCCCCATAAAGCGCATCTCCACAACAAACTTGTATTTGTCTCTGCAGTGGGGGCATCGGAATTGATAACAACCGGCGCTCATGGCCTGTTCCTGCAGCAGAAACAGAACAGGGTGAGTGTGAGCCAGGCCTGGTGCTGCTGAGCACCTGCCGTGCTCATGGGGTGAGGAGAGGGCTCCTACCTGGATGCAAGCCCGGTGGAACCAGGCGTTTTGGCAGGCTGGGCACACCATGGTGCTGTAGGACATGCTGTCCCCCACGGGGTCCATGCAGATGATGCAGGTCGTGTCCTGCGCCGGTGCTGCCTCCACTGGCTGCTGTGGGCAATGCTCCATGCAGAAGGACCTGGGGGAAGATGGGAGGGATGGGCAAGGTGAGAAGTGCTGTGAGGAGGGCAGAGGAACAGGAAGGAGCCCCAGGCCTTGGCTCTGGCTCTGCCAGGCTGCTGGGAGGCGTCACGGCGCGCTCCTCGCTTCTTTGGCTGGTGCTGAAGCAGGGCTTGGAGGCTCGCAGGCGATGCCTGGCAGCCCTTACCTGTACTCTCCAAAGTACTGGGTGACGCATTCACCCTTGGAAGCGCAGGGGAGATGGAAGCTGCGGTCGCAGCCCATCTCTGCACAGGTGATGGTGGCCCCCCTCTTGCCACAGACGAAGCAGAGCTGTAAAGAGCAGAGCATTTCTCATCAGCTGCAGGCTCAGGGCCTACGCAGCGGGCCCTGCAGCTCTGTGCAGGGCACGGGATGGGGGCAGGGCTGGCTGGCACTCTGCAGAGCTGCCTGCTGAACAGGGCTGGTCTGCAAGAGCAGGGATTTCTCTTGGGGCTGGCTGGAAGGGCTGGGATTGCTTTCCCTGGACCAGGCTAAGCTCTCCACGCCTCTCCGGGCGCCAAGCTCCCTGTTCCAGTCCAGTGCTCACCGTCTGCTCTGCCTGTCTCAATTTGACTATCAGGTCTTTAATCCAAAAAGTTAGGCCAGTGTGGTCTTCCACATCTTCATAAAGACCATTGATAAATATCTGTACAAGAGGAAAGAGCAGGCTCTTGTTAGGGCAGAAAGGAGGGAATCACTGGTTGGAGGAAGGTGTCAGGAGGCACGTGGGAACTCACCACACAAAACTTATGGAAATAGAATCCACGGTGCTCTTCCATTTCCCCAAGGATGCTCGAGTCCTGATCCACTCGGCCGCAGAGCACGCATGCTGGAGAGGAGAGAGGAACAGCAGTGAGCGGCCTGCGCAGCCAGGTGCCCTGGGGGCTGTCCCAGGGGCTGCTGTGTGCCGGCCGTGCCAGCTGAGGGGCAGGGCTGGTGGCTGTGGAGAGCAAGGGGCAATGCAGGCCCAGTGCGGCCAGCAGGCGGCCACAGCCCAACCGCGGCTCCCCTGGCCAAGGAGCCGAGGGGCCCTGCGTGCCCCGCCTCCCCTCTCTGCCGCTGGCAGACCCCCAGCACCCCTCTGCCCTGCGTGCAGGGATTCATTGCTCTCACCTGGCTCCCTCGAGCCGGCGGCCTCCTGCGTCTCCGCAGTTGACTGAAACCACTTGCAGAGTCTCTGTCCCATCAGTGCTGGGCTTCGTCCTCCGCGTGACAACCTAGGGGAGAAGCGGGACGAGGCTGAGTTCTCAGCTCCGGCCCCGAGCGCTGGGGAACCCTCCTCCCTGGGCAGCCTCAGGCAGCCCCTTCCTCCCTGCTCACCTCACCAGGTCGCACTGAGCTCCGCCTGGGCCCCGCAGCCTTGGCTCTGTTCCGCACCCCGCGTGTCACAATGGCCGTTCCGTGCCACCCTCTGTGACACCATCACACCTCACAGGGGCCGAGGGCACCCAGGCAGCAGGATGGAAGCTCTTGCAGCCAGCGCAGCGTGAGGGGCCCGGTGCCATCAGTATCCCAGTCAAGTGTTTATGTGCTTCCCTGACTTTTTGTTGCTTGCTGCTCATTACCTCTCGCTACAATAAATGACTTGATTCACAGAATCACAGCATCTCGGTGGTTGGCAAAGACCTCTAAGATCCCCAGGTCCCACCGTCCCCCCCCCACCTGCCCACGGCCCTCAGTGCCACATCCCCACGGTGCTGGGACGCCTCCATGGACGCTGACTCCCCCAGCTCCCCATGCAGCTGTGCCAGTGCCTGACTGCTCTTTGAGCAAGGACGTTCTTCCTAGGATCCAGCAGGGATCCCCTGGTGCAACTGGAGGCCGTTCCCTCTCGTCCCAACGCTGCTACCTGGGAGCAGAGGCCGACCCCCAGCTCTCTACAACCTCCTTTCAGGGAGCTGTAGAGAACAATGAGGACTCCCCTGAGCCTCTTCCAGATTATTTTTGTTTTTAGTTAATAAGAGTTTGCACAGTTTAGGGCAGATGTTGCAGGCAGTGCTTTGTTTGCCATCCTCACCTATTAAAGCCTGCTTTCTCACAAATGTGTTTTGAGTCCTGGCAAGATGGAAACCAGATGTTGTTTGTTCATCTGTTCCTGAAAGAACTGCCATGCTGCGATTTCTTCAGGGAGTGTCTGATTAGAGCAATCCGAGTTGCTTTACTTCAAGGTCACACAGCAAGCAGCTTCACTTCTGTCTTTGCAGCTAATGTTAAGTTCAGGTTTTAGAAGCTGTTGCTCCATCCTGTAATTCCACAACGTTACTTCTGCCCATAAGAGCACAAGGGTTGGGTTTTCTCACAGCCTCCCACTTCAGAGCACAAAGAAGGGAAAATGCCACGGCAGCCCAGAAGGGAACAATTCATGATATTTTCCTATTGCATTTTCCACAGATAAAACTCGTTTATGTGAAGTTTAGCAGTAATACACATCTCCCTTTTACCAAATTGTCCTTGAGATAAGGCCAGGATTTTTTTTCCAAACCTTTGAACTGCTTCAACAAGTCAGGATTCCTTAACTCCTGTTAGTTCAAACTCCTCCAGTATTCTATCAGAAGTGATTAAAGTGATTGAAGTCCAGATAAAGTCCAGAAGTGATTGAAGTCCATCTTACACTCAAATTATATTCGTAGAGATCAGTTGGTGAGAACAGCAGAGAGCAATTAACAGCTGACAGTGCTGCACTGCGGGGTGCTGTGATGATGGCATCTCAGCAGGACAGCTCTGCTTGCCCTTCCAGTGGGCTGAGCGCCAGACGCAGGATCTCACAGCCAGGCTTCCTCACAGCCCCCCAGCAGCCCCTGCCCGGCCTCCGTCCCCGTGCTGCACTGCAGGAGGAGGGAGCAAAGCAACTTTGGCTGGAGGGAGATGTTGAATTACTGCACCCGTTATTCCTGCACAGCTGTTTCTGGGAAAGTTCTCTTCAAAAGCAAGAGCCCAGCCAAGAGCACGTTCAGCATGCAGAGCAGGGCTCCCTGCCCAGGCACGCCAGGGCACGGCACGGCCTTTTTGGGTTAAGACCAGAGGACTGGATGCTTCCCAATTTTCCGAGGGCCTACCTCCCACTGCAGTACTGCTGCTCTCCATTCCGGCCCTTGGAGCCAGGCCCGTTCTGGATGCCACTGCAGGAAGGCCACTTGTGCATCAGTGCTGCAGGAGGCAGCAAGTGCCTGGTGCTGCACAGCCCGAGCGCTACCCTCAGACCACAGAGGAGGAAAGCTTTGTCAGGAAGGACCTTTTCTAAAGCTCCGTCTCTGCTCCACGTCTTGTAAGATTTGGGCAGGGCTGACTTGTTGGTGCAAAAGAAACTCTGGGGCGCATCCAGCCCTACCCAGACAGTGCCTGAGGGAATGGAAGGTGAAGGGAACCGGGACCAGTCAGCGTTCCATCGCAGTGCCCATAGCCATGCCCTCACTCCTGCTCTCCTGCCACCACTCTGCCCCTGGCAGAGGCACTGAGAAGCCATGTTGGTGTTCTACGGCCCCACAGTCCTCATATGCTTCCCACATCCTGAAGACGAAAGGATAGGAAGGCATAGTGCTAGTTTAGTTACACAGCAGATAAAAACAGGAATTTATCGACTTCACCATTGCTTTATCACCTCAGTACTGAGCTCTAACCTAACAGCACGCCTAACCGTGTTCTTTCTGCCCTCAATGCAACCTGTCTTGGTAGGAGCCCCTCTTCCCTTGCTGCAGGAATTGATGCCATCACAATTCACTCAGCTGCAATATGAAGCCTGTTAACTGCAAAATCTAGGAACACAAAGCAGTAATTTCCTTCACGACCACTAAAAACGTGACACGCGTTTCCCTTTTTGTAAGGAAGCACACACTACATAAAAACAAAGTGACTGAATGCTGGGATTGATGTTTTTGAGTTTACCAGCTATGTACTTAATTTCTCACTTCCCCATAAACACTATATAAGGTCATTGTTGGTATAAAGAAGGGTTAGTTCCTTCTTCAAAGGCACCCCATAGCTGCACCACAAACCAAGGGGTTTCTTTTAGTAGCAATTAAACAGTTCTGGTTTTAGGGTCTAAGGTTCAGCTGCTAACAGCAGCCCACTACACTGAAAGAACACAGCAACAGTAACTCCTGCAATCATTCGTGCCATATCCTAGCAATTAGCTGCTCATTCAGTTCCACTGCAGCACAGACCTGGGTGCTACAGCTCAGGTTGTGCAGAGCTTTGAACCTCTTTTGCTCAGTACAACGTTCCCTTCAGCCACCTGGTTCTTCTCTAAGTTCCAGCAGCTTTGGGTGGAGCATCTTAGCAGTGCCACCTCCAGCACATTCATGAAACTGAAAAAAGGAGTGAACTCAGCTGATGAGCCCAGGCCTTTTACAAACGCCTTGCTCAGTAGGGAACTGCCGACTACAAGTTATTTCTGCCATTATTTTTTAAAAAGTCACAGTAAACAATTTACTAATTTCAACACAAAAGGCTCAAGCAAGGAAGTGGTACAGCTACAAAAGAAACAACAAATATTGTCACAAGACTTGCATAGGAACTCAGTGACCCCAAACGTCCCAGGACGTTCAGCATCATAAACCAGCATAAATGCAGCTGTAGTCACAGTAAATGGGAAACACACAGTAAGGTTTCCATTCCATTCACAGCAGCTTCATGAAGGGCGATGCTCATAAACAGAACCATTCCTAAGTTCATCCTTCCAGTGGTTTTGCACAGCAAAACAGTACATGGCAGTGTTATTTTTGTCCTCACATCACAATTTCCTTGTTTTCATTTGGACAGCACTTAGGTAGAATAACTGCAACAAAGAATCGTGTTTTACTTGTGCATTGGAGAGCAACTTTTGAGTTATCACTTTGGAGAATTGCTGATTTAGATCAGATTTACTCTGGCAGTGATTACGATGACTGAAGTACGGGCAGAGATCACTGTCACATGGCTAACTGGAGTCCTGATCTTCTGCTTCTGGCTCAGGAGGGTACAATTCATCCAAGATCAGCTCTGCAACAACAACAAACGACAAGAAGCACATTTCAGAGAGGTGTTTTTTTGTACTTGATAAAATTAATAGCTGGGATCTGATTTACTGTAAAACCTGCTGCCTGTAGTATGCTACAGCAAGTGCCAAAAGCAAGTGCTCAGCTATCTCGGACAATGACACTGTGCTACAGGGTGTACAGTGGGCACCAGGAGGCCTTGAGGTGCAGGGAGAAGAGGCAAAAGCACCAGATCAGCTCTGCAGGAAACAGACACAGCATGTGTGCAAAGCAAAGGGAAAGCTCTGATGTTACACGAGCTAGAGGAGCTTTTGGAATAGTGGAGGACATGGACGGATAGAAGAAGGAAGATGAAGGAAGGTGTTAGGGATGCAGGGAAAAGAAGAACTGTTAGGGGAAAGTGTAATGTTAGTGGGAGACTTGGAATACTGTTAAACATGGCAACACACAGCAAAGATTACTGTTCTGCAAGGAGCTGGGGCATAGGATTTTATTTGATCAGACAGTAGGGACATATTTCTATGGAGAGAAGAGAGAACTAGTGCTTCTGTGTAATGAAGTCTGAGAAACACTATGACTGTGGAGTACCCTCTTAGGTCAAACCAACAAAACATCCACGGTTGGTAGACAGTGGTTATTAGGACTGCTAACCACTAGTCATTAGGAACAGGCTGCTCAGGGACCTGGGGGGTCACCGTCCCTGGAAGCATTCAAGCACTGTGGGGATGTGACACTGAGGGACGTGGGCAGCAGTGCTGGTAGGAGGATGGCTGGACTTAATCATCCCAAAGGTCTTTTCCAACCTCAGTGACTCCACAGTTAACTGAGAACGGGACAGAAGTGGTATTTTATTTATATGCTAGGGAGGGAAAAAGCCCAAACCACAGCACAACACAACGTGGCTCCATTTACCTTCGCAGGCGCTCAGCTTTTTGGTTTTTCTGAGGATGGCTCTAATGCCTGGCATGGCTTGGTCATACTGATGGAGCACTTCCAAACAGTGCTCATGAAACAGTTTGTCTTTCTGACACAGGCTGTGTAAGAGTAGGACAGCGTCCCTTAAGAACTGAATGACTTGCTCCTTATGTGCACACAAGCTGCTCTCAAATCTTCTAATCTTTGTCCACTGTCTGTGTAACATTATTATTAGTGCCTTAACCACCTGCCAGAGGAAAAAAAGAGACTGAGTACCCAAACTGAAATCACAGCAGCAGAAAACGCATTGCATTATGAACTGCATTAGTTGCTCTTCAGATATCAGATGCTGGAAAGCAAAATCAAACTTTCCAGAAGGCAGGCTTTGAAGTACAGCAGCTAAAAAAGGACAAGAGGCTACTCCTACATTTTCAGCAGAAGAAATTCAGTATCTACAGTGACGTACCTCCAGATTACACTGGCAGTGTGCAGCAGGGGGTAAAACTGTTGGGCTGGAGAACCGCACGCACCGGGTCAGGAGCCTGACTGCCTGTTCCAAAGACATGCAGATGCGTTACAGTGAGTAGCAGGCTTCTGCAGAGCTAGCAAACTGCTGAGCTGCAAATCAAGGCAAGTCAGAACGACATTTTGTTACTGGCTTCTAACAGTCTGTAACTAACAACCGATCTTTTTTACTCCACCAAAACTAGTTAGTGTAATCTTTGCTGTAAAACTTAACTGCCTGACTTAACTTCACTAAATGCAGTGAATAAGTATCTTCAGTTTCTATCATTCATGTGTAGTAACTCAAAGTAAATTACAGGATCAAAATGGTACACAGGTCTTGCTCTCTACCAACCTAAAAGCAAAGCAACATTTGCAGTCTTGAATTCACTTGCAGCCATCCTAGGAGTCTTTTTCAGTGACTTCACTCTGACTGCTATGACTGGTGTTATCTTGAAGAACAGTTACTGATTCAATTTCCAACAGTGATTCATAGAAACCAATGTAATTCCACACCAAAAGCTCACACTTTCAGCTTCTGTTACAGCTGAAGAACTTTTTTGGATGCTTCAGGCACTGCCCTGCTCCTCCCACCCCTTCAACAAGGCAAACTGTGGGACCTGGCAGTGTTACCTCTTGCTCCAGCTGCAGCCAATGCACGTCAGAGGCCGATTTGTCCGGTCTTGATGTGATGTACATGTACAGTGCAAGAAGAAGGCAGCTATCTGGAAGAGAGTCAACTCAGTTCTTTTCACAGCTAGTCAATAGCAGGCGATATTTTTGTTAGCTTTCAACCCCCCAGAACTCCTTTTTCCCTCAGCAGTTTTTAATACAACAGGTATTTGTGTGGAAAGTAAAAATCCAAAGCGCTGAGTGTACACAGGTGACACCAGAGGTGCTCTTCAAACAGCAATGAAACTCAGCATAAGCACAAGCTTGCAGGCAGTGCAGCAGCCTGGGCTGTGGGGGTTAAGACTACAGAACAAAGCCCGTTTGTATGACTTTTAGTTGGGCTGACTAATACTAAACTGCTAACAATTCTGTGTGAAGGAATTTTGTACCTGAATGGGAGCAAAGTTGAGCAACCAGCAGGTGGTGTTGTGCAAGTATGGACAGCAGCTTCACGGTCAGAAGAACTGTGTGCAGAGGGACAGCTGGGCACAGGACACGGAGCAGCACCTGGTGGCTCAGGAGGTGCTGAAAACTTGCAAAGAGAAATCCCAGTTACTAATGGGAAGTGACTGACGAGTCCAAAGTAATTCACTGCTCCGTAACTCACACCTTTTCCAGCCATTCCAAACACAAGCTCCACTTACACACCAGAAATAAAGTAAGCTGCAAAACATATGCTGTTACGTGTTGCAGGCAGCCTGCAGTTCATACGATGGCTCCATGCATCCATTAGCAAGCAAGGATCACACTTTCAGGAGTGGCATTTCATCCACAAGAATAAACAGACATTATATTTCACGTAATTATAAACAGAATATGAGAATTATAAATATTATAACACAGAGTAGAAATAGAATAAATAAGTAAACCAGGAAGCCTTGTGCTTTCATTCCTTATGCGTCTCCCAGCAATTCAAATAAAAAAAATGATCAACCACACGACTGAAGCAGCTTTCTCACTCCAAAATGAGAGCCATGCAAGGAGCCAAAAGCATCTGCTTCACGTAAATGCATGATAAGCAGATCTTACTATCAGCTGGGGCAATTATCACATTCATTAGCAGCCAAGGCAGTGGTCAGATCCTCCACTGCATCCCAAAGGTGAGCCAAGAAACGTGACATTCTCCCACAGGTGTCACACCTTCTACTGCCACCTGCACAAATTATTTTCAACAGTGAAAACTGCTACACAACAAAGAGCCTGAAATCACTGATGAACTATTACTGACTTACTTGATTAGCAAGTCCACCGTTGAGTTTTCAGCCAGTTTTACCAGAACCTTCAGGCTGTGCTGCAGGATGCAATCCATCTGGGAGCCCGCGGTGGCAGAAAAAGCTAAAACCTGGAGCAGCTTCCTGAACAAAGAGTGTTGTGCTTGAACGTTACTGTCAGCATCCTGCGGAGCGTCAGGCAGCCCTCCTCGTGTCCTGTCCTCTTCTTTATTATCACACAGCGCAGTTCTGTCTGTCTTGGAAAGCTGTTCTTCTCCAACAGCAGAACTTTCTTCCACCTCGTTAGCCAGCAACACGTGGACAACGTCCCAGCTATAAAACGCCAAATAATAAAGAATGCCTAGCGACAGAACTGTTGCTTCTTCAAGAGACAACCTGAAGTCCTCCTTACTCGCCACCTTACTTGTGTTGGTTCTGGCAGAAACGACTGCATGGTTTCCACAAGAAGCATTTACTGACTTGTCTGCCGACTGCACCGCGCGGCAGTAAGCAGCGATGTGGTGTTCCACCAAGGGCAGGAGGTGCACAGCTCCTCGGATCTTGCAGCGTTTCAAATACAACACCTCGCTCCCGCTCCCTGCAGGGCTCCCTTCGCACGGCCCTTCGTCCATAGCGATCAAGTTCAGCCCTGTCACCGCGAGCTTCTGAGCTTCTTGCAGGGACACAAGAGGAGCAACTTCTTCCGGGGCTGCCCTGGTGCCAGGCGTCTGCGTGGGCTGCCTACCCAAACAGAGGGAGGAAAATACTTCGGTGCAAGAAAAAGTAGAGAACAGAGCTGAAGATGTGCTTATTTGTGTTCTGAATCAAAGAATAGGAAGGCCAGGGATGGCTGTTCTCAAACTGCAGCTACAGAGGCCAAATGCAGGTATGTTGCATGCATGAAATGGAAGGGCAGTGAGGCACGAGCCATGCTAACACCACAAAGCACTGGAACTACTACAGAGTGTCAGAAAAGCAAAGGTATTTCATGAGATAAAGTCTAGTTCTTTAAGGAGAGAAATGCAGGAGTTAAATTAAGTGCTTAATGCATTCATCTCCTGTAATAATAGTCAAGAAATATAGTGACAGTAAGCATTGTTGGTTACAGTCTTATTAAGCAGTAAAACAGGCTGAGCAGATAAGACTGCACCAAAAACCTTTATTAGAAGTTCTCCTAAACCAACAGGTGCAGGCAAATAGTTATAAGTTACCACGGTGTGCATCCTCCTATAAAATAGAGGGTATAACCCAGGTTTTGTGAGCAACTAATTCCTTTCCAGACTATCCCACTGAATTCAGCAATTGCTAGCCTACAAGCCTAAGGAAATGTTAAATGCAAAACAAAGGGCCCTCAACAAAAGAGCCATCAAACAATTAACAACAAAGATCTGATGAACGAACATGATATTTGAAACCATGTTCAGACAGTTGATTTTATATTCAACTTCATCTTTAAATACAGCACTGGTTTAGATTTTAGGATACATGTATATGTGTGTGTGTGTATATATAATAGATATTTTATATAGTTAAACATATCCGTAAAAAGATAAGGCAGCAGTTGCTTGTAGCCACTTCCAAGTCTTCCTAATTTCTGTGCCCTCCCCTAATACAGAACTAATCCAGTTTCCAATTTCGTGTCTCTCCTGCGTTCAGTACCTACAATCACCAAGGACAGGTGACCAAAGCTGCAGAATGATGCTCCAAGTTCTGCCTTCAATGCACTCAGCCAAAAGGCGCCGAACACAAGGCGCCAGGTGCCCCACACACAACACCTGTCTCACACAGCATCCCACTGTGCTGCCAACACATCAGATGCAATTTTACAGTCCTTACGTCTGCAGAAGGTCGGGCTGCAGCACAGCTCCTGGCAGAGCCTCAGCGCTGCTGCTGAGAAGATGGCAAAGTCCCAGCAGGGACCCAGAGACAAGGGGCTGCTTCAGCAGGGCGCTCAGCAAGGCGGAACCTGGAGAGATTGCCTTTGGAGTGGCTCTTCCATCCTCTGCAACAACAGCAACATATTTCAAAAGGTTTACCTCACCAACGGTGCTCTCAACCTCAAAGATCAGTTCTTCCATCATCAATGTCCTTTCTCTTACAAGACAGAATACGGGAAGAAAACAATATTTTAAATCCATCGGTTCTCAAAATCTTATAGATCACAATTTAAATGCGGATCAAGGCATTTTAAGGAGATTTTAACTACAGTCCCTTTATAAGCAAAACACCTCAATCGAGTGGTTATAACAACGCAGTCATCCTGGGGCCATGGCCTCCATGTTCCAGCCTGAATATTAAAAACACGTGAAGCAATTCTGAACTGGAAATAACGTGTTGAACACCTTAAGCACTGATGTGCTCCTTCCACTTTCAGAAACAAGAAATGTACATTTTTCCTGCTCTCTTCACAACAGACAGCACTGCTTGTTTACACAGCCAAGCCTGGAAGATGTCTCTCAATGTACATCTTGGTCCATACCCTTCTGAAAAGCAAAACCCAGGCAAACAATGTTCTGAAACAGAGGAACAATATCCCAGTGCTGCAGGGATATATGATAATAGAACCTGAAATGTTTCAGTGCAAAACCAAAGCTAAGAGCAACTAACTCCCCAGGCAGGAATCCGTGCAGTAGCACTGCACATACATGACAGCACTCACTAATGGCCTCTTAATCGCTCCTCAGAAATGCTCATCTATTTTTTCATGCTTATTATTTCTGTGTTGCCAGAAATATGTTACCTTGAATGCTCCGACGAGGTACAGAATTGCAAGAACCATTCCTTCCCATTGCTTCCTGCTTTATGGATGACAATTCAGGATGGGGCATCTTACTATCTAAAGCAAACAGTAATTATGTTTCAAATACAAGGAATAATTTCTTAGACATCTGCATCTGTCATCTGCACACCTTCAATTAGCCACAGCTATCGTGCAGTAAGAACACAGAGCACAGGCCAATATAAAATACTCAGCAGTGTCAAACACCACTGCGTTGAAAAAGCAACTATAGGAACCCTCCTAAGGCTGCTGATACAACACTGCCCAGCACTGCTTCTGGCTGAATACTGCAGCTGACAGAAACGCCTCAGAGGTTCCATCAGCCTGCAGTGAAGGTCACAGAATCATAGCCTGCTTTGGGTCGGAAGGGACCTTTAAGATCATGTAGTTCCAACCCTCTGCTCCAGGCAGGACAGCTCCTCATGTCTCCCATTATTTCCCTCTGCCAATGTGCCACTGTCTCAACGCAGCAGTTGGCTGCTATTAAAAAAAGAAGAAAAAAAAAAAAAGCAACACAATTTTTGTTCCATATGCCAGTAATACACAGAAAAACGCACACATGTGTTCCCTAGGTTTTACTCAATGACTTTAAAGTCACAGTTGTGTGAGAATTACTGCTCAACACATAAAGGAGGAAATGAGCGAAGCCCTGCAGCTGCTCGCTTTAACGTGGCTCAATATGCACCATTTAAAATGAAATACCAAAAAAATAGAACTGTTATCACAGCCCAAACCTCAGGACTATAAAAAACGCCCTAGCTGACTGGTAGACCTATTCAACAAATAAGCAAATTATTTCCTGTTCCTTCTTGAGTGAGGAACGTGGGTAACAGTTTGGACATTGCAGCTCATCTCATAATAAATGACTTTCTCATGAGAGCCAGCAAACACTTCACCCAGCTCCCCGGCATTTACCTCACTGCCAAGTGACCCTCCTGCAAACCTGAGGTGGAGCCATACGGAGCACAAGCAGTGTCTCACCAAAAGAACCACTCTTGTGCCTGTGCTGACCTTACTGCAACTGCTGGGTCACACAGGGCAAAAGTCTGCATCTAAGGCAGAATGTTCACAAGCAGCTAAAAATACTGCAGGTTGTGTACATAAGTTGTATGCAGGTTTACCTTCCTTGCTGGAAACCGTCTGTGCAAAACAATTTCCTGAAGAAGAAGAAGAGGGTCTGACAGCTGTTTCAGCATTGAAAGACTCTTTTGTAGGAAAAGACCTTTTTCCAGGCTGCAGAGGACACCCTTCTGATTTCATCTGGACTGTAAAATTCTTTTTAGGGCTACTAAAAAAACAAACAAACAAACAAAAAAGAACAACAAAACACCAACAAATACCCCTCCAGCTTTAATGAATCAATATCTTTTTTGGGAGCATTTTATTAAACAACACAGATCCATTTAATAGCTTTCTCAGCACTGATGTTTCAGTGGTACTTCACTCTACACCCCCTGCATTTCTGTCACAGAAAGATTTCTTCAGCTCAACAGAATGGTTTTGGTTGTATTTTCTCAAGGGAATGACCTAAGAGTTACACAGACAAAGGAAACCTGTGCACGAATTCAAGCGTGCATGAAAAGAACACAGATTATTTTCCAAATCCCACACATACCTTTGTGGCACAACCGTTTGAGCTGAGTGTTTGTGTCTTTCACAGTTCTGAAGCCGCGTTCTTAATTCATTCATTTCTGCATCTTTGAACTGCAACTCTGACTGCAGTGACAGTAACTGAAAGAATCAATGAGATCGTTTCACTGCTACAGAATAGGTAAGCTGTTCCAACTGCAAAGCAATGCAAATTTCTGTAAGATTTCAAGGTTGCTGGCTACTTACTGTGATCTCTGTACAAGTTCTCCATTTTTATGCTAATCCAATTAATACTATCTGAGAACCAAGTGCCCAGGGTCAGGCAAGAAGCAATGACTTGGCAAGACAGACCAAGTGCCACAAGAGCACGAGCACAGCCAGGCCATTAACAGCACAAAAGCAGCCACTGTCCTCTTCAGGGCTCTCACAAAGATGACTGCAACAGGAACAGCAATCTGATCAGAGTCACACAGCACCTTCTGTCTCATTTTCCATTCTACAATTGTTTGTAATGTACCATTCTATTTCCAGTTGTAATGTTCCGGGGACTGCTAAAGAAAGCAAGCAAGCAAAAACCTGCCATCTTCACTTCACTCTTATTTTGGCAGAAGAAATGCCCTGTCAGGTTCTTGTAAGGGTTTTCTTCTGCATAACAAAATAAAGGCACACTCAGAAGAGTCACACAGATATTCCTTCTTTGACTGAACAGACCGTGGCAGCACTGAAGTCACACTGTGAGCTTCTTTCTATGTGTGGTGCTGAGGCGACTGACAGAGCTACAAACCTTTTTGGAGAACTCTCTCTCTTTTTCACCAAGGGCCTGAGATTGTTGCTGTTCCAACAGCATGTACGACCTTCTCTGCTCATCCATAGTGTGCTCCATCCGCTGCATTGAGTCACGCAACATTTTGATTTCCCCATTTTTAGTAAGAATTTCATCCTGCATTTCTTTCAGCTGCAAAGAGATGAATTCCATTAAGCATACATTCAGTACATTCAGCCAAAAGTACCCATATTGCTCTCTACAAGGTCAAAGGCTGAGTGCTGCAGCTCAGTTGCTATATAGTTGCTATAACCCAGTGTAGAAATCCTGCACTGTGGCTTCTCTTTTTTTTTTTTCCTGATTAAATCAGGCTCTGTGACTTTCTCTAATAGAATTACAGCGTTTTGCTGCCTGTCAGAGATTGTGGGCTTTTCTGCACTGCTGTCACCCCTTTCTTTTAGGGAAATGGTTTCCAACCGAAGGAGGGGAGGTTTAGACTGGACATAAGGAAGAAATTATTACAATGAGGATCATGAGGCAATGGTACAGAATGCCCATAGAGCTGGTGATGCCCCATCCCTGCAGATTCCCAGCTCAGGCTGGGGGGCTCTGAGCACAGATAGAGCTGTGGGTGCCCCTGTGCACTGCGGTGCCTTTCCATAAAGCACAGTAACACCATCCCCTTAAATGCACTCTTTCAAATCATTAAGTGACAAAGAGCAGCCGCACAGGACAGAGGGTTTAACAGGAAAGACAAAAACTGACAGATCAGCATTTGCTTATCCGAAATGCCCGGGGCACAAACACCGCTCCCTTCGGACGCCCTGGAGCCATTTCCATTAGGACTCCTTTCATACACCGCACGCTCGGATTCCGAACCACCCGGATCAGAGGCAGGACCGGATCCCCGGCCCCGGGCTCCACAGAGTTGCGGGGCGGCGCTGACCTTCCGCCGGGCGTCCTCGTGCTGCGCCTGCAGCACCTGCAGCTGGAACGCCCCTCGCAGCTGAGCGCCGTCCGCACCGCCGCCCGCTGCGGAGAGAGAACGGGAGAGCTGTGGTCTCTCTATCGCGACAGTCGCGCCTCCGCCCCCCCCTCGCCCCACGCTGACCTCCGGGCTCCGCGGCGCCGCTCCACGCGCCGTGCGGGCGGCTCGCCGGGGCCGGGCCTCGTCCGCCGGCGTCCTGCGACAGCGCCTGCGAAGCGATCGTGTCGATCTCCTCCAGGTCGTCCGCCGTGAAGTCGTCGTTGTCCCCGAAGGGATCTTCTTCCGCCCCGACCTCCGCCGGCCCCTTGGGGCGTTTGCTGGGCGGGAAGCCGTTCCCCAGCGCGGCGGCCGGCGCGCTGCCCCGCGGCCAGCTCGCCCCGCACAGCGCGGGACCGCTCCGTTTCCGCGGCCCGAGCGGCGGCCGGGTGGCCATGCCGAGAGCCACTCGGCCCCGCGCCGCCCCGCGACCCCGTCGGCCGGAAGCCCGCGCGCCGAGCCGCGGCCAATCGGCGGCGGGGCCTACGGCAGCCCCCGAGGGTCAATCCCGGCGCCGGCGCAACACCGCCGGCCGCAAGCGCCCCCGCCATTGGTCGCCGCTACTCGCGCTGTGAGCGGCTCGCTGATTGGACGGGCGGGCGCGAGAGCGGCGGCCGACGGCGGTGGCGGCGCTGCTCTCCTCGGTGAGGGGAGGAGCGGTGACGTCACGCTGACGTCAGGTGACGTCATACAGCGCTGCGGCCCGCTGGGACGAGCTGCGGCGTGTTCTGTGTGCAAGCAGATTCTGTGTTTGGTAGGCCTACTTCATTTGTTCCTGCTGCTTCGTTTCTCAACTCACTGCTGCAGCAATCTTGCAGAAAAGTGCATTACAACGTGGAATGCACGCCTAGGTCGCCCTCCTGGTGGAGCCTCTGAGCCTGGATCTGGAGTCTTGGCCCCGGAGCAGCGCGTCTGAAAAGAGATGGATGGAGGTTTACAGACCACGTGCGTGTTTTGAGATGTACGAGCGACGAGAGCCCAGACGAGACAGCGGGGCGGAGCGGGGCCGGAGCCGGGAGATCCACGCTGCGGCGCGCCTCGTCCACTCCCGCCCTTCCCGCTCCGGCCAATCGGCGGCGAGGCCCTGCCTCTCCGCCAGCAAAACAAACACGGCCCGTCTCCTCGGCCGCCCAATGGCCGCGCGCGGCCGCCCGTAAGCCCCGCCCCGCACCCGCCGCGGCCAATGGGGATCGGGCTCGGCGGCCGCGGAGGGGCGCGGGGCGGGCCGCGTCGTTGTGACGCGCTGCTGCGCGACGTCGCCATTGGCCGGAGCGGCGGGCCGGGCGGAGCGGCGCGGCGGCGCTAGCGGCGGGCCGGGGCCGGAGCGGCGGCGAGCGGCGGCCGAGCGGCCATGAGAACCGAGACCTCCACGGCTGCGGCGTTCGTCACCCGCCTCCTGCGGGCCGCCGGCGGAATCGGCGAGGAGCAGCTGCGGTGCTTCCGGGAGTACCTGCAGGAGGCGCTGCGCGGTGAGCGGCGGCCCGGCCCGCTCCGCGTCGGCGGTGCTAACGCCGCTAACGCCGCTAACGCCGCTCTTTGTTCCCTCCCGCAGAGCACTACAAACACCACTGGTTCCCCACGGCGCCGACCAAGGGCTCCGGGTACCGGTGCATTAGGATCAACCATCAGATGGACCCGCTGATCGGCAAGGCGGCGGCGATGATCGGACTGAGCCACGAGAGACTTTTCCAGCTCTTGCCCAGCGAACTGACTCTTTGGGTCGACCCTTTCGAGGTGTCCTATCGGATAGGCGAGGACGGCTCCATCTGCGTCCTCTATGAAAGTCCACAGCCCGGGGCGAAGGCGAGCAAAGCCCTGGAGAGCAGGAGCAGCTGTAAGAAGTGGAGAACTGGCCGGTCCAGCCCGTCCGAGAGTTACAACATGATGACGGTTTCTAGTTAGAAGTTACTGTTCCTTGTACAGTTATGTATGTATCCCAGTTCTGTGATAAACTTAATTGTAACTGAGGTCTTGACTCTTTCTTTTCTTTTTTTATTGGTAGCGGCGGGAGCTTTGCACCCTGTATCATCCGAGTTGTAACCGTACTGCCAATCCTTGGGGCCAAGGGCTAACGTGTAAAGCAGCTCTTCAGTCTGCCCGTTACTCTGGAACATGTACTGTAAATGCACTGTACAGCCGGTTGGTTGTTTTACACATTTATATTTTCGAGGAAATTCCGGTATTTGTAATAAAAAGCGACGCTGTAGCACTTCATGGTGGATTTTAGTCAAGATTTACACTTTGTTTGGAAAAAAAATAAAAAACGACAGAAAAACAAACTCAATTTGAAAGCAATAACACAAAGGGGATTAAAGCAGAAGCAGCGAGCTGCACATCAATCTCCACTGACTTGTCTGCACAGACTTTTCTCAGGGTCATTCAAGTTTGGCTGCAGGGCACAAATCACAGAAGTATTTTTTACCTTTTTCAAAGCATGTGATTATTTGGGAGCTGGGTTTCATCACGCCCCGATGTTCTGACGGAAGGGGTTGGGGAATTTGTCTATCTTACTTCTAGTTAGCAAAGTAGAACAATAAAGACTTGCTCAAAGTGCTTTTGACTTGTTTTTTATTGTCTGGTCTCTGTTCTGTGATTTTTCTTGTTTTCCTTTTGAGACATTGCTCTCAAAGCTTGCCACAGCTCTTTCCAGTCACTGCAGATCCCGCACCTTTAGCAGGGAGAAGCTCTGAATATTCACCTTGATTTCAGCTCGCTGCAACATGCTTAGTACCAGTAAAGCTTGCTTAGCAGTATGCCTGAGCAGGGCTGTGTGGTTCACTGTGCTGGATGAAACTGAATGGAAGCAGAAGTATGCTTCTAACACTTGATCTGTAGCAGAAGTATTTTTGGATTCACTGAGTTTGTTTAAAGCAGTGACTTAAACCCATGTAGGGAGCTGGAGTGAAAGGCTGTGATATTTGCCGTTGCTGATCTGCTGGGAGTTAAGGAACTGCTGTTCCTTACAGCAGCTCAGAATTCTCCTTCTGTCAGCTTGGATTTGCAGCTTAGTAAAATCAGAACCAGAAGCAGTGGGTTCACTACAACAGCCAAAGTGTGTTTCTGGTTTGTCTGATGACTTGGTAGTCCGGTGAAGGATCCCATTCTATGGCTGTGCTGTGTCAGAGGCCACGGTTTGTAAGGTAGCAATGCAGGCTGCACTTCTGGTAGCCTGCAGTCTGAGCAGAGCTGGGTGCTTGGTGAAAAGGAGCTTTGTCTCATCTGTCAGCAAAAACCATCTTGTGCTATGTCAATAACGTGGTAAAGCATGCAGCGAGGGGGCAAGTCTGGGCAGCCTGGGAAGGGTAGAACCCGGCCTGCATAAGGAGCTTTTCTCTTTGCATTACAGAAAGCTGTGGCTTACTGGTTGCACTTTGCCTCGATTGCTGCTTGCCCTGTTGTTTTGGAGGCAGGCTTGGCTGGTAGGCTCTGTTTAATCTGAACAGAATGCACAGTGCCATGTTCTTAGTGAGCAAAACTTTGTAAAAATTGATTTTGTTCCTTGCCTGTCACTCCAGGAAATGAGTGTCTGGGTTACTTTTACTAAGAAACGGATGTTTAAGGTTTTGCACCAAACTGCCTTTAGTAAAACAAGATTGAAAAATCATTTCTTATAACATTGTCTGATTTCCTTACTAACCTTCACCTCTGTTCCTGGTTGATTTGCCTGCACTGAATATTTATTTCCTCAGGACCTCTAGGGGTCAAATTCGATGCATTTGTTGCTAATTGAACAGAGTAACTTAAAATCTGGCGCAGAGAGCTGCCCTCTGTGGCTGAGTGCCCTTTGGAGGACAGTGCTCCGTGCTGCCCGCTCTCTTAACAGCAGCTCTTACACAGCAGGAAGTGTTTGAGGCAGTTGTTAGAGGTGAACTGGCAGCTGGGCATGGTTTCTACGTGCTGGACTTGTTGGGCAGACACAAAGTAGGATACGGTGGCTTTTTCATGTGCTCTTTTCTTGTCTGCTGTGTAAGACGAATCCTGCCGTGTGCCTTCTGTTGCTTTTGTAAGGGTTTGTTAATCCTACTATGTTCAGTGGGATATTTCACACACTGTGTAGTGTCTTGTCTCTGGTATCCCTGCACTTGAACCTGCCCTGCAGGTTTGGTGCTAATCATTAGAAAGGACTTTTGTGTCACTGTAATTCAAGTTCAGTTGCGTATTCTTAATCTGCTCTGTAGCCCATTGGGTGAAGGGGGCTGGGAGGTTCGGAGCAAACACACCAAATCAAGAGCTGCAAGTAAATACATTGTAAAGAGCTTGTGACATCTACAAGTACATTCCACTGCTTTAAAATCAGAGGCTCCCAACAGCACAAAGAAAGGCTTTTCTGGTGGAATGCAGCTCTTGGTAGAAAGCCAAGGGGGCTGTTTAGATGAAGAAGGTAACCTTAGTGTGTTTTCCTTAGAAGAGGAGGGGTTTGGCTTTCTTGTTGCAACAGCACAATACAAAATACATGAAATGGCAACAGTTCTTGCACAAGGCTGAGATGTGATTTAGAAGAGAAGGTTTTGGTTTCAGTAGGGAGAACTAATGTATGCCAGCCTTCTTGGAGCAGTAGAAGTGCATGGGGAATGATAGCTGTTGTCAAGCCTGCTTGTAGGAAGATGAGTTACCTGCTGGGTAAGTAAAGCTAAAGGAAGGAACATTTACACATGACCAAGCATGCATTTGCCTGTTTCTCCGAAGACTGCCTTGCTGCAAAGATGAATAATCTTTGTCCTGTGAACTACGCAGCAAAACCCATATCAGGTCCTGTCAGCTGGTGTCACCTTAGCGCTTGCTTGCCGCACATCGCACGGCCGGTCCCCACCTCAGCGAAGGCACAGAGCGGTGCTGAGCTGTGCGCTGCAACAGCTGAGCAATAAGCCTTCATTTCTTCATACATGCCTGAGCTCTGTGCCAAGAACCGAGCGCCGTGGGTCCGGATCCCAGCGCTCCTCCCGTCCTCTGCCGCCCCGTCAGCACTGACCTTACGGTGGTTTTTCACTGCACTGGGAACAACAGCAGATCAGTGCAGACGCAGTGCTGACGTAATCGTTAGCTACGGCATCTTCTGCCCGACCCAGCTGCATTCACACAACCGGCTCTTTGCTGTGTGTCTTTGTTTGCCTTAGAATGCTGTTTGTTGGTGGAGCACCTTAGAGAGGTGCAGCGTGTCCTGATGCGGTCAGCACAGAGTGGGATTTGGGCAGGACAGCCCTTTTGTAGGACACTGCTCACTGCTGTTAATGACAGTGCTTCACTTCTAATAAAGATCCTTATCATTAAGTGAATTAGTGCTATATTAAACCCATCTCTTGCAATTATTAGTTATTATTTTCTTCTATCTTAGGACACCTACTTGTGAGCAATTACCTGGTTATCCCAAAACTCACCAGGAATTGCCATCACGGTCCCACCGCTATCCTA